GAGCATGTGATCAGCTGGTTTTGGTTGTCAGCAGCAAAACTGGTTGATCCACTCGGAGAAGGTGCTATTTAAGAGACTGAGCTGAAAACAGCACCTCAGACTGAGGAAGTCTCTTGGATGAGAGACGAAACGTTTCTAATTTTTTCTTTTTGTTTGTTTTCTTGTTTTTTGAATGTCCAGAGGACCAGATTGAACTTTTTTGGATTTTTCTACCTGGATTATTGAGCATGCATCAGGAGATTCATCTGTTAAGTTTCTGGCAAAAACCAATGCAGACATGTTCCTGTTTTTAGTTTTCTAAATCGCTTTATATTCTAGCTGTTTTTTACTATTCCTCTTGATTGTCGTTTTGGTTGCTATTTTGTTTTGATTTGTAAAAAAAAAAAAAGGAGAGAAACTTACTTTGTAAATTTGTATACCTATGCCTACTTTATTGCTGTCTATTGCTGTTGTTGTTATTCACTGTTGTCATCATTCTTTGTTAAGAAATCAGGTCTCTCTTGAAAATGAGTCCCCGAGGCTCAATGGGATTAACCTGTCTAAATAAAAGTTGAATGAAAAACAAACTTCATTTAAAATCAAACAAACAAACAAAAAAAATGGATCTCGGTTCTATTGATGAAGATGTTTCACCTCCCTTATTCAAAAATGGGAAAGCTGTGGAGGTTTATGCTTTAAAATGCATGAGCAACTGCAGCTCCACATCCAGTTTTGAATTAGGAAAGCTCCAGATGTGAAGTAAAACATCTTCATCCACAGAGGTTTAATGTTTTTATAGAGTATTTTATTTATTAGTTTTGTTTTATAAATTATTGATTATAACAGTCAACCCTCATCTCCCTCCCAGTAATTTTTGTATATTGCCTGCTTGCAGGGGAAGTTGAATCACCCTATTTTAAAGGAATATTGCAGAAATATGCAAGGCAGTAGAGATTATGTTAATAAAGGTGTGTTGTTCACGAACAATCCAAATCTTTGGAACGCCTCTTTAAAATAAACACTGGGAACTGAGTAACAGACAACTGAGAGTTGTTCCTTTTGTGTTTTTTTCCTACTCATGATCTACTCCTCAGATGGAGACACGCATGCTCCTCTTTTGATTTTTTTATTAGAGACAAAGAAGAGCAGGCATAGAGGAGGAGCACAGCTGTCTTGTGTAGGAAGCATGCGCTCAGAAGGGGGGTGGGGGTTGCACACTTTACAAGTTGCATAGTATGTCCCTTATGTTGTATGCCACAATGTATGGCCTACAAAGGCCGTGAAGTCATGACTGATCAAAACTGAACAGCTCTTTGAAATGAACAGAAGAGCCGGCTCCTTCATAATGCTGTCAATCCCATCTCAAACTGGTAAGTGCTTGAGTATATACACTATATACACTAATATACACTAAGCACATGAGTGCTTAGTGTATATTTAGTTGATGTTTTTCTTAGTTCATATCTTAGATGTTATTACTGTTTTTCTTATACATTTTATTGTTGGATGTAACTGGGACCCTGCGTACATAATTTCGCTCCACCACATGTACCACATGAGGTGCGAATGACAATAAAGAAACTCTGACTCTGACTCTGACTCTGACTCTAATAGAAACTAAAGCCTGACTAACAGGGCTTAATTTGAGCAGGATCCTGCCAGAACAGGATACGGGAACTCTCTTATTTTGACAGAGTGTGTTCCCGTAACTGTTTGCTCGGATCTGGTAACTTTCAGGCTTACTAACAATAAAGTTATGAACAAATACTGTATGTTGACTTTGAACAAATTAAACTTATATTGTAAACTGAAAATAATTACATAAACACTCATTTTAAACACAACAGTCATTTACGAGCATACGAGCTGCCTCTTGTATGTACTGTATGTATGAATCCTTTATTTAACCAGGAAAAATAACCCACTGAGATTAAAAACCTCTTTTCCAAGAGTGACCTGGCCAAGACAGCAGCATAAAACACAACAAATCCAAAATACTAAACCAAATACACAAAATTCATATCCAGGATAAATCACATAATTACACTTTAGAGCAGTTACAGGAGCCAAGTGATCTGATCTCTCATTCCTTTAGAATTGATTTAGATTGTCCCAACATAACAAGAGATGATAACTTTAAATCCTTCTGCATATTATTCCAAGTGGCAGGGGCGAAATATTTAAAAGCCTTTTTACCCACTTCAGTTCTGACCTTTGGGACCTGCATCAAAAGGATGTCCTGAGAGCGCAGAATATAATGGTTAAAAGTTCTAAATAAAAGTGAATATAAATATATAGGAAGATGCCCAAGGATGCATTTAAAGATAAAAACCAGCAAGTGAAAAAGTCTGTGGTCAGTCAAAGAGGGACATTTTGCTGTAGCATACAAAGTGCAGTGATGTGTTCGATAGCTACATTCAGTCATAAAACGGAGGGCACAATGATATACAGCATCTAATTTTTTCAAAAGCTGGGCTGAAGAGTTCATAAATAGCAGATCTCCATAATTCACCAGTGGCAGAATAGTTGAAACAATCAGGTGCCTTCTGACTTGGTGTGAGAAACACTTTGTTTCTAAAAAAGAATACCAGTTTAAGTTTTAGTAGTTTGTCAATATGAGATTTAAAGGATAGATTCTCATCAATCAGAATACCTAAATATTTGTAGCACCTAACAACTTCAATTTCAGCCCCTTGAACAGTTAACAAGCTGGGGAGGATAGGTGGAAGCTGCTTACCATTTGAAAATAGCATAGCCTTTGATTTTTCTGCATTCAAAACCAGCTTAAGCCCATCCAGACGGGACTGAACCGTATCAAACGCAGATTGCAGCAGTTTAAATGGTTGTGAAACTGAAGAAGATGAACCATAAATAACTGTATCATCAGCATATAGATGAGCTTTAGCATCAGTCAAGTTATCGCACAGATTGTTTACATAAATTGTGAATAACAAACGACCTAGTAAGGAGTCTTGAGGCACTCCCTTTAAAATAGAAAGGAGGGAGGAACAAGACCCAGCCACTTGGACACATTGAGTTCTATCAGATAAATAGTTGGAGAACCAGTTAACAGCCTGGACAGATAACCCACTTTTGTAGAGTTGATTCATCAGGATGACATGATCTACAGTGTCACATGCTTTAGAAAGGTCAACAAAAAGAGTTGCACAACATTTTTGGCCATCTAGGGCATCTATAATGTCATTTACCA